AATATGGATTTTTTTCATGGGGCACTCTGGAGAAAGTCCGTCATTTGATTTGGGGACACCTGTCCTTAATAAGCCAATTAAAAGAGACAAACTGACAATACAAAGCAGAAAATGGAGATTCACTCAATTCATCCACAGTGGAAAGAGGGACAAACAGATCATTGATCCCCTGAGTCCATCTTCAACCACCTGCCATCTTATTAGGATATCAAATACTCACTGGTGTTTGAAGATTCCTTCTAGTGTCCTTCTTGATCAGTTACCATACAATATAAACAAAACCAAAGAGGAGAAATTAGAGAACAGAAAAAAAATGATGGGAACATTAAACAAACCCTGTCTCTGAATTATATGCTTTTTATATCATGATAAAGTCACAATAAAAATAATGGTTTAAAAGATTTTGACAGCTCTTCTTTGCTCTAATAAAATGTTTTATGACTAACCTTGAAAATAGGAGACAAAAAATAGAATTTCCAAAGACCTAATGTTACTAAACATTTTTAATAGAAGTTTTTATATTTGATACTTTAAGAAAATTCAAGCACTTTTGGGGGGTGTGAGACAGAGTTTTTCTGTGTTCTGGTACTCCATTGTATTCCAGACTGGCCTCAAACTCACAAGGACCTGCCTGCCTCTGTCTCCCTGAGTGTTGGGATTAAAGGCATGTGCCACCACCACCCAGCTTAAAGCACTTTCTAAGAGCAAGGGAACTTTAAAGAAGTCCAGATTTGGGAGTGTAACATGTGTTTAGCTCCTCCATGTTCAGCTCAATATGTCAACAGAACAACACTACTAAACTAGTAGGCATACCCAGCTGACAAAGTAATAAAGTATTACATATGAACTCGTATACTTAGCAATATGCAGTTTTCTAATAATTTATGTTTGTTCCTGTCTGCTGAGTGAAAATAATGGTTTGTCAACACAAAATTATCTATATTTGGAAGGTGTGAGGATACATGGGGAAAAACAAACAAAAGTTCTCATTCACTAAGTCTATAGGCTTTTCTTCTAATCTTCAGGATTTAGTAGATAATTTTTAAAATAATAATGAACCCCAGAGCATCTTTACCATAAGAAGATCTGAAAAGCTTTAGGAGATTATGTGTTCAGTCTATAGTCCTTAGCATGTGTAAGGGGCATGATCAGATTAAACCTTGTAATGGTTGCTATCTATCTTTATTTTATATGCTGAGTGAGAAAGTCACATTCTGCCAGTTTTACTCCATTAGGAGTAACTTAATGATTGACTAGAAGCTGAATGATATATATTTTCCTTTCATTTATGTATTCAGCAGTTAATATGTTTTAAACAGACATTAGGATAATATGGCAGGTTCAACTCATTTATGACTCTTAGAGTATTGTTGGAGATAAAGAGTTAGCAATTGCAGGATCAATCATGTAAAATCCTAAGATGTGCACACTTAACCTCCAGAGTACATCTAAGGGTATTTAGAAAATGTGCAAAATGTCCCAAAAGAATGACCAATCACATACTCATCATTTTTTTTCACTCCAATAAAGAAACTGGATTGTAGGTGGGAAACTTACAAGTCAGAAGGCCAAATATGATTACAATGAGAACCTGGGACATCTCAGTGGCAATAACTGAAAAAAGAGATACAAACTGAATTCCAAGTACTCAGGAATAGTCCTCAAGTACAAGAAGGAGTCAGTTGTATTTGACGCAACATCTTTAAGAGAATATCCTAATCTAGTGCCTCTGTTTCAGAACTCACTAAAAAGAATGTCGGAAAGCCTTCAGCTTCTGCAGGCTGGGAATCAACGCTGGAGCTTTTGAAACTGACTCCAGCCTAGAGCCATTGCCGCTGCTCTGAAGCATAGCTGCTCCCATTGGGAGGTCAATCACCAGAAGCACAGGGTTGGATTGAATTTTACTGCTCTACTCATTTTAAGAATTGCATTTAATCGAAATCCCATGGAATAGTCTAGCATAACAAATACGATTCACAAAGCTAGATTAGTTCACGATGTATATGGTCAAAATGTATAAGAATTACTGCCAAAATATATAATATGATCAACATTTTATTAAACCCAAAGAGATGGAGTAACAAATGCCCATTAAAGACAAAACAATTAAAATGAATAAATGAATGTGCTAGTAGGATTTAATATTTAACGTATTTTCAGTGCGGTTTGTAAATAAAATATTTTGACAAAGTACAATATTGAATAAAACATTTTAGTAAAAAGTAAATTATAGGGCTGGGAAGATGGCTCACTGATTATGAATGTTTATTGCTCTTGCTGAGGAACTGAGTTTGGTTTCCAGTACCCATATTATTGTTCACATCCAACATTAATTCCATTTTCAAAAGATTTGATATACTCTTCTGACCACTGCTGGCTCCTGGTACACATTTGGCTCACAAATATATATGTAGCCAAAGCACTCACATACATAAAATAAAATAAAAATGATAGCAACAACACACAAAGTAAATGTTAAGTTTTTAAAGTATTATTACTATTAGAACCAAGGAATTGTCCTTAAATTCATTCAAGGGTACAGGGAACACTGACTCAGTAGACAAGGTAATTTGGAAGATACTTATTTCACATACTGTGGGAACTTACCATGGAAAGTCTTTCTAATGTTCCACAGTTTTAATGAGCTCTAGATAGACACTTGGGAAAGAACCATCTGGCTCTGGATTTCCTAGCAGCCATCCCTTTGCAGCATGTAAGTGTATGGTCATCTTGCTTGTTCGTCCAAAACCAGCAGCGACAATTTTGTTCTTTCTGAACCTTTTCAAATATTTTACAGAGATACCCTCCCCAATCAAGGAAGTACATATGATTTGATCATCATGAAAATGAATTCACCTTTTATTTACCCAAGTATGAAAATGACACGTGTGTATTATCTACACTAATGGACAGACAGGTTTCAAGGAGACCATCAGAAAAGGGTTTTAAATGCAAAATTTAATTAGGATACATAATTCAGTTTGTTCATTAAATTTTCTTAGTTTTAAGCCCAGAAAAACTCCTGACTACACCCTACACCTCCAGAAATTAGTTTATAGTGATAACATTTTAAAGAGGGTTGATATAGTTATTAATGACCTAAAGGCCTCAGTGGACTGAGAAGCTCTTGACAGGAAAGTTGACTTGACTGACAACATCTGTGGAAAATTCTGATGAGATCCACACACCAACCCCTCTGGTGTCTAGCACTTATACTGCAGAACTGACCTGCATTAGGACTCTTCCGTCCTTGGTCTTCTCCTTTTCCATCCTATAAAATCCCAAGACCACTACTCCACATGTGCACAGTCTCACCTCTGCAGGGACTGGGCCCTTCAGTTGTTCTGATTAAAGAACAATTCTGATTCTGAAGATGCCTGTTAGCTTTCTTTGTTTCAACTTCACATCCCTCAATTCAGTTATCTATCATTGGTAGAAGGAGGAAACTGATAAATTGTGACCATTTTTGTGGTAAATGCTATAAAATAGCAACTACTAAAACTAGTAATTAAAATGTTTGTGCACCACCAAGGCAAGGTGGTGCAAGCTCATAATTCTAGCACTAGAGAAGAGGAGTGAGGAAGTCATGAATCCAAAGTAGCTTTCATGACATGGTCAGCTTGCAGTCAGAAGAATCTACATGAGACTCTGCCTCAAAAATAATGGCTAAATGCTGGGAGGCCCTGTGCGTTAGAAGTTGAGTTCTACCATGTCCTGGCAAATCTCTCTGAGCTCAGCAACATTGATGACGCGTGCAGGACAATCGTCTATATTCTGCCAATTATATTTTAAATAAACAATGATTGGCTAGAAGCCAGGCAGGAAGTATAAGCGGGAAAACCAGATAGGAAGTAGAAGTGGGGCAATGAGAACAGGAGTATTCTGGGAAGAAAAAAAGCTCCTTGGCAGTCCTACCCAGATCACAGAAGAAGCAGGATGTGACCTGCCCCACTGAAAAAGGTACTGAGCCATGTGGCTAACATAGATAAGGATAATGGGTTAATATATAAGAGCTAATACAAAGCCTGAGCTAATGGGCCATTCAGTTTATAACTTATGGAGACCTCCATGTGATTTTCTTTGGGACTTGCCGGCTGTGGGAACTGGGCAGGACAGAAACCCCAACAAGCAGCCCTTCCTGTTACAGATGATCACCTCAATCTCCCCTTTCCCTTCCCTGCCTTGGAAGATGCCCTCTATCTGCCCTTATTTGGAGACTTTGTCTAGGTCCAGAAGCCTGGCTAATCTCTAGTATGATCCTTGACACAGTTCCTTGCAGAAGTTTTCCCCCTGCTGCCCATACAGTAATTGGTAATTAGACTTTGTTCTAGGAACAGAAGCATAAGACCATGCTTCCATATATGATAACTGAGGCTTTACTAGGAGCCTTATGATAGAGCAATATAATGTTTTCCAGGTTCTGAGGTACAGATAACCCCATATGACTGAGTAATATAATTGAGAAAGATGTAGAGACAGTGTTTTAGGATACTTTCATCACATAAAACCAGTAGGTGTGAAAACAATCGCAAAAGGTTGCCAGAGGGCCAACGAATTCACTAGGTATTTCATTAACACCTGCAGACTGAGATATGCTGACCAGAACAAAATTGCTTTCACAAACCTGCCTTTATAATTCCATATAGATAATTCACCAACAAAATCAAAGTGAAAAAAACTCAGTAGATTTCTCAGCCTCTTGACAGTGACATAAACAGATTATTGCATAGCTGATGCCCATTTCTCCTTGCTGCACAGGTTAGGGAAGGCTTGGCCCTAACTTCTTTTCTTTCACAGAATCTGGGGAATTTCTGAAGACCCATTTGTATACCAGAAGCTGAAGTTATTCATTTGGCATATGAGGAAAGCTAAGGCTCAGGAGAACACCTGACCCATGCCTCAATGTGCCACAAGATATTAACGACTGAGCAGAATGCAAGCAGGTGTACAGACCTGCTGCAGGCCAGCAGAGACAGCCGCTAATGGCAGAGCAGCCCTACCTCTTGAAGTACTCTCTTCATCTTCAGTAGCAATGTCTTCACTGCTGTGCACTCCTGCAGCATGAGTCTGAATGGCAGGGAATCTACTCCTCCATTTTCCTCCACACCGAGCAGGGGACAATCTGCAGAGGGACTGGTGGGCATTCGGCTGACATGGGAACATCGGGCTTCTTGATCAAGGTCTTTTGTTATTTTCAGGGAAAGGCTCCTACCGAGAAAGAAGACAAAAAATTACACTGTGGTGTGCTTTTTCCTCCAGTGTCAATCAATAATAACACGACACTAAGTACTTCCTGTGAACCTTGTCATTTTCTCAAATTAGCCCTTGAAGTGCTCAGAATTCAGCAAAAATTATGAATTGCATATTTAGTGGTAAAATTCAATGACAATTACAGTTTTAGACTATGATATTTCCTCAATCAGTATTTCATTTATACATGGTACTTATTTAAACAATTTGTAAATGTTGACACAATAAAAAACCACTCGAAGACAAATTTTATATCTAAAGTTTCTGATGATATGCTTATGTTATCTTGAATGAAAATATTCAGAGACAAAATTATAAGAAATTAGTTTAATAGCTATTGGTTTAAATTGTTAAATCAACCAATAATAACTATAGTTAGAAAGGCAGCAAACATAGACTTTTACATTAAAATAGTGGCGTAAGAGGAAAATGTGTAATTCCTTGGTAGCATTAGCATGAAAAAGAAGAAAACTGCGTCATACCTGAAGAACTATCAGCTAGCACAAGGCCCATTTTTACAGGAAGGCAATTTCTTTGTACCCACCCCCCTCAGATACAGCCCATTTTCCTAAAACCAGAAGCAGGTTTCAAAAGGTCCCTTTTCCTTATTCTCTCAGAGAGATAGATGAGGACTTCTGAAGAAAATTCTTGATACCCCAGTCCTGGAATACAATAGGGAATTTTAATAATGCAAGTTAACTAGGCTTTGCCTTCATTTATTTCAATCTCATAACTTGCTGTCTTAAAATCTAGTTATTTTCCTTGTCTTGTTAATTCTCTATAATTTACCTTTAATTGATAAAATATGCAATAATTTCAATGCTGTCCTTTAAGTCATTCCTCATTCCTATGAGTGCTACCTGTGCGTGAAGCTGAAGCTGTTAATAAGTTGCCCACACTCCTGTGCTTAACTTGGCTTCCGTCTAGTTTACAGGACCCTACTTGTAGAACCTGGAAGGGTAGGGGGAGGATTCAAACAGAGCCTGTATAAAAATCTGTGTTTTCTAAATTGGGAAGAGATATTTTAACAGGTGTGGATGACAGTCTAGTAAGAAAATATATACTGACTACAAGATATAAGAACTTTGAAATTATCAGCTATGTTTACATGCAAGTGCACCATGTTGTTATCTGGAGAAATCACACACTTTGCTCTAATTCTAAAACTACTTACTGCTACCAAAGCTTTCTCAGACATACAATGAAGATACAACTATATCTACTCCTTACTTGTTCAAATATGAATAAATTGACACACATGAAAAATCAACATGGTAGTGGACAGTACCAAACACGCTATTCATGCTAATATATAGTTCAGTTACAGGTACAAGATTATAATAGCAATAACTCTCTTCTCACTTCAGATGATATTTGTAGTTTATATTTAGGAAAAAAGTAAACAATTGCTATACAAAATCATATAATTCAGAACTTTAATTATTTTTCTCTAAGTTACCTTAGTTTTGTAAAATTGAAAAAACATTATATGTGCAGTTCAGAACAGATAGATAGACAAACAGACACACAGATATATAGATATAGACGTAGATAGATGTGTGTGCGTGTGTGTGTGTGTGTGTGTGTGTGTGTGTGTGTGTGTCTGTGAGTGAGTGAGTGAGTGAGTGAGTGAGTGAGTGAGTGAGTGAGAAAACTGAAAATCTCTGCAACTCTCAAATATCTAAGATGGGACAGATACAGAAATACACACAGAAGATAAAATTAGCCATGGGTTTCATACTTCAGGAGTTGTAAGAGTGACTGCTGGCATATTTTCTCAGTTGTGAAAATTCACAAACCCAGGCAAGTGATAGTAACTGAACTTGTCACAGTTGAATGCTGACATTGACTCAGGGAGATCTCCTCAGCTTTACACATCTTACTAATTTATTCCAAATAATAATTACAAATGAGAGTGACCTGTGATATTTTATTTGTATAAGAAAAATCTGACCTATTATGAGAGCACAGTGAATACAAATTGGATGGAGTTTGTTAGCAACAGACTGCTGAGTTGTTCTGGTCCTCAGGAGCACCTCTCACACTGCCAGTCATTAGGCTTATAATTATGATCATTCCTTTTCTGACTAGAGCACATGAATTATATTTAATAACAGTCAATAGAATAATTAGTATTGTAGATATTAATGTTTTTTAAATATAAACATTATTGCACCAAAAGCACCTAAGTGTCTAGTGAAATTCAACGGAAAATGTTCTGATAATGGGAAAAGCACAAAACATTTGCACATGAAGTCCAAGTTCACTCTAGATGGCAAGTGTGGAAGCCCCAGTGCTCTTGTGCTCATAAGTGGGCAATGCTCACAGGACAAGGAAGCTCCTGCACTTGGGGTTGACAACCCGCTGTTAGCCACCTTCTGATTACTGGGTTCAGTTGTTCATTAAATACAAAAACCATCACAAACAAAAGCAAAGAATATACTGTCTACTATCCACCACTCACCCAGCTTACCTCCAGCAACATTTGTAGGTTTGCATGATAGTAGCCAACATTCCCTGATGCCCAGGATGGCTGATGGAGTCCTTATAATTTAAATTTTAGTTATATTTATGTAAGTCTGAATTGGGACTTAAATACCTTTCTCTATTTATAACTAAAATAAATGAGTTCCTATAAAAATAACAGCTGAAATAATAAATGTTGTAGTAACAGTATTCTCAAAGGCCAGAGGATATGAACTGGTACTGAAAATATTTAACTTTAATCTACTGTAGTAAACTGACTTCATACGTTTGGCACAGGCACTCTTTGTGAGATAAGAATTTATTTTTATCAATGTTTCTAGTATAAATCTGTTTTCAGTATGACACACAAGTTTAATGGAAAATGTATTTCTTGACAGAAAATAAGGAACTATTAAAGGATTTTTCCTTGCCATGGAGAAAAAATATGAGTATTTTCACAATTTTCCCCTCATTTTTTTTTTTGGAAATGGAATACCATTTTGATAGTGACAAACATTCTTTCCACATACAAGAACTTTTTCGAATCATTTGAAAAACCTTCAATACCAAAGCCAACATAAGCCATGAAATGCAAGGTGTGTCACCCAGCAGACACCGACTACCTTGCTGTCACGTGAGCTATATGGTATTCTTCACTACAGAGAATGTCTACAGCCAACATGCACCCCAGTGACATCCGCACTTGGATCTGAGGAATTGTCACAGTGACTTAACACATCTCCCAGGAACAGATAGACCACAGTCACCTAACCTCTAACCACCCAAAAAAATTAGCAAACACAACAAACCAGACTTCCATCCATATATTTAGAGTTATAGAGAATCAAATTAAAAAGAAAACACTGAATTTGGGAAGTCTATTGCCAATTTCATGAAATCTTAGATTATTTGTGTTGCGTTTGGGCTGAGCTGGAGTATGACTAAGACACATACAGCATCATAAATACATACTAATGAACTGATATCCTAGAGGGTATCATAAACCGCCATTTTGAGGAATTGTTTACAAAAATGTAATGATTATTTCATTCGTCAATCACCTGTTTCCTTTCAATGTATAGTGTCTATTTTGTTTTGGGAAAATTCTACTTTAAATAGTTTCATAATTGAATATTTGAACATTTAGACATGTTTAATGACAGAGTCAAGATCTCTGTGTGTGTCTGTATGTCTCTGTTTCCCTCTTTCTCTGTGTAAGTTTTAAGAATTTAATACCATTAGATTAAAAAAATGTACAAATAACTAACTGTTTTACTGTAACCTATGATACAGACAGAAGCAGAGTTGATTGAACAAGTCTTGGGATAACTTACAATCTGTCATAGTGCGGAAACTCTCTCCACATCTCTCTCACATCACAACCTGACTCTTGGCCCATCACACTGTCCTCACTCAGGCCCTGGGAAGTGTCACACTCTACCCCGCCTCAGAGCCATCACCTATGTGTTGTCTACACTCACAACGTTCCTTTCCCACCTTCGGTTTCCTGTCAAGATACTTGTTTAGGGGAACCTTTGTACTCAGCAAGTACTGCACTCTCCAAAAGTACACAGATTTCCCTTTCTGATAGTAAACTCTTTTTCACAGTATTATCAAATGTGCAGTTACAATACATTTGCAGAGCTCTCTCTGAACACACACAGAACCGTACTCTTCTTGTTCTACATGCAAGCGAGTGCTGTACAAAGTGCCACCGTAAGCCACCTTGTAAAATACCGCCAGGGAAAAGGGAAAAGGCAGATGGATTTCCCTTGCCTAAAGAAAGATCAAAGCAGCAGTGTCTGTGCAAGCTGTCATTTGCAGCGGTTTCCTTTCCAGTCTTAAGAAAAGATGCACATGGTGAGGACACTAAGCGGCTCTCAAAATTTTGAAAGTACTTGCTGTGCCTTAATAAAATATTGTTCATCCTGGCTGTCTATCATTGGAATCTTTACCACAACCTATTATCTCATGGTGACATAACTCAGGTTCTCTACCTTTGATATGACATATGTCTTGAGATCAAAATTAAAGAACATTATTACCTTATCAAGAGTTGGAATCAAGAAGCATAGAAATGTTTATAATAAGAAGAAGGGGAAAATAATGGGCCAAGTAAGCAGTTAAAGAAATCATTCCACATATGTAAATCTGTTCTCAAATACAAATGTTGTTTTCACTGTGATTTATCATCTTATTGTAGGTATTCTATGCATCTAGTTTTCTGTTATTGGGTTAACAATACAATCAAGTATCTTTCCCAGAAAACTAAAACACACAACACCACACGCCCCTCATGTACATGGAAATAAATTTAATACTCATGTGATTTTCTCTGATACTATAAAAGAGATTCTTCAAAAAAAATCTCACATTGTTCTGTCCTCTATCTAATAGATATGGATCAGTTTTGTAAAACTGCACATTTTTTAGTCTCATGCCCAAGTTTTCTGTGAAATACATCAATTAAACAATGTAAATTATCTGGTGCA